AGCAAAGCTTTACAAAGCCTTCAAAGCTTAACCACAAAGTCACGATCAAAACCTCTTGTACTAATGTTCCTAAGAACTGTTGCATAAGAGGAATTCCAAAATCTTGACTTCAATTGTTACACGTAACTAAATGTTTTCTTCCATTAGTATTTATGTTCAGAAACTGATGAGGTCACATGCCTTGATACCAGAGTTAGAACATTACAGCAGCAGCTACACACTAGAATGAAACCATTAGAGTATACAATTGTTCTTTATGATACCATGTAAAGTTATCATCAAAATCTTATGGCCAGATGTAGAAACACTTCTTGTTCTTACAATATCCCCCTTTTTGATGATGAAAAAACCATGTATTTTGATAGATCAATTTATACAAGGTAATCACCATGAGCGAAAGCTTCAGAGTTAAGCTCACAGCTGCCCCTAAATTTGTTAATTCCAAAATTTCATTTATGCTTGTTCAGAGTCTCCCCTTGAGCTTAAGACTCATAAAATAAATTTTGAGGTTTTATAACATTGAAATATAGAAGGATAACTTCCCTATAACAACTCATCAAAGTCTTACTAGAACACCTAGTCTTCATCTCAGAACCTGGTTACTATTAGAACTTGATGAAGAATCAAAACTTGATTTGGAGCCTGATTGAATAATTCCACACATCATGTATTAGAACTTCTATTTCTTGATTCTAATATCACAACCAAAACACTATACTTCTAGAGAAGTTCACTACTTATTAAGCATCAGCGTTTGACATGATATTTTCCAATATATCACATATTAAGACAGTTCACAACTTCTGAATTGAACATACGTTGCAAAAGCACACGTTGCAGAAGAACACGTATCAGAGCACATCTTTTGAGTGGCATCTTTGTATCACAGCATGCATCAGAATATTGACTTGACTTCCTTTCAGGAGAGCACAACTTCGGAAGCTTTAAGTCTGAATTTCATACTTTCAGAAAGTTCACAATTTCTGAACAATATGATATCAAGCAAGATTACCTTACTTCAGTAAGTTTATAATTCTGAATTGTGTTTGATACATCTGTTTGAATATTTCTCACTAGCTCATTTGTATTTTTTATCTCCAAAAGATCATTTGCGTTCTTTATCTCCAAAGGCTTTCACTAGGCCACAATTATCTCTTGAATGTCTTGCACGAAAACCCCCAAATCACAATGATCTTGGAGGATAAACCCGTGGTTTTTCCAGATGAAGACCTCTACCATTCTAAACCCATTATTCTAGGCTACACAAGAACCTAATTGACGTTATCAAACCTCATCTAGATGGCACCCCAATAAAAGATCGTTACAATGGAATGCTAGTGTGTATGCATAGATTGAAGGTTGAAGATAAAGAGCAAATGTAGGCTAATTTTATGGTATCATCAAGTTGAAATGATGCATGAATGATGTATTTATAGTTGTGCAAGTTTATGTGTAAAAAGGAGTTTTTCAGAATTAAAAAGAATTGAAAAATTGACTTGAACAAACAGTATGTGTCGACCTGAAAATTGTATGTGTTGTCACATACTTCAATTTTCAACTGTATATGTCGACTTGAATGTTGAATGTGTCGACCGAAATAAGTTAGTGGCTACATGCTTTAAAACAATAGTGAATGTGTCGACCTGAAGATCGTATGTGTCGACATATAAAATAAGTTTTTCTGCAATTTCAGAAAAATTTCAGTATGTGTAGACCTGTATGATGTATGTGTCGACCTAACCAAGTCAGAAGCTAAATTCTTATTTATATGAGTTGCATGTGTCGACCTGAAATGCGTATATGTCGACACATCCAGTTCAATTTTGTGCAGAAACAACTTTTTAATGCATGAGATTATTTTCAATATGATTCATAAAAATTCTAAGACCTCTATATGAATAGGATGTCACACTAAACTCAGAGATAACGTCCAATTGCATAAATGCTAGTTTCTCGTATTTTTGACATCATTCAAAACAACTATAGAGACATGTTTCACTCACAATGTTAGGATTATAAGTGAGACTTAGAGATTTGTTCCCTTACCCTATTATGCATACTTTGATGTTGCCGAGATACATCTCAAGATCACTCTGACCTTTCTTGGCATGACACAACTCATCACTAACACATAATCACTTCTACAATATTAATGGATCATGGCTCACTCATTCACTCTTAATATTTTTTCCCTCTCACCTTGCACTATTTTAGATCTCTCTTTAGCAAAAACGGAACGTGTGACTATCAAATATTATTTCTCTCTTTACTCATGCTTAATCTCAAAAGATACTTATTTGCAAAATCAACTTGAATAATAATTTCATTCCCTATAGATACGATACTCTTATTTTATCACTTGCTGTAATTCAAACATATATGTATACTTGCATGTAACACTTAATCAAGCAATAGTAGACTATAAGGATAAATTTATCAAAGTTATCCAACCCTCTATCGAAAGACTTTGACTTCTCTATTATAAAAATAATACTCACTATAATTTGAATAAAAGATTAATTACTCTTGACAATTGGCTATTTAAAAATGATTAAATAGTTCATAAATAAAAACTTATAGTTAAATTTCTGAATTCGATAACTTGTAATTAAGTTTTTAAATAAATATTTTTGAATTAGGGCTAAACTTATAAATAATTTATAATAAGCTTTTATAATTAAATTTGAATGAACTTAAACTTATCGTTAAAGAATAAATTCAAAGAGATTTGATCATCAAAATTTTGATGGCTGGTCAAATTTTGGGACATAAGAATGATTAAACCATGAACAAAGCATCATAATAAATTTAGACCAAACTCTCATTGGTATATGAGAAAAGGTACAAAATTTCAAATCTACTTGTAAGTAAAAATCTTTGGGATCACCTTTCAATGAGTAACAACCAAAGGAATAAGAAACTTCAAGACATAGGAATCCACAATTTCAGTTTAAATTCCATCTTTTCATGGTACTAATAATAAAAAAATCATTTAGGTAATAATGATCATATAATCTACACCAAAGAATGGTGGCGCGTGGGAGTGAGTGGCGCGTGGAGTGAGTGATATGGATTCATAAATATTCCCATGCAATGCAAAAGCAAATAATAGTGGGGAAGGGTACAGACCGGACCAAGAAAAAGTCTCATTTGGTCGGGACACCAATTGGATTAAAGCACCAATACATAACTTTTTATTTAATGTTTTTTAATGTTTTATGATATATTATAAGATAATCATTTTTTACATCACATTCTTTACCTTAAATTTATAATTGGGTGGTCCAATGCACGAGGTTCTTATCAAATACATGATGTTTGAAATAGCAAATGTGTCTATCCACTAAGCCATTTGTGAAAAATAAAAAAATTTAGTATATAGTAAGAGTGTTATGCATATAATTAAATTTTAGACATTAACTATGTGTAGTTTCATTTTTTTTTTCAAAGTACATCTCTCTACTACAATGGATATCATATTTATTAAATTTATTAAATAAAAAAATAGACATTTAAAATAAATGGAGATTTTCAATTTAATTAATTTTTATTAGTTATATAATCTAAACTTCACCTTCCATTATTTTTTGCACGTCATTTTTTATATTTTACATATATAATTTTACTTAATGATATTTTTCATTTCTTCTAACAATTTCAATCATTTGTTATTTCATTTCATCTATTATAAGCGTTTTTTTAGTCATGAATATTATCCTAGGCATGGTAATCTCATGAATTTTATTCCCGTCAATTTGTCTGGTAAATAATTAAGGTTCTTGAGAATATTTTTGAATTTTAATTTATTTATAATTTTAAAATTTTAAAAATATAAAATAATGTGTTGAAATAATATAAAAGTGGGTAGTTATAGTTAGTTATTTTTTATTTTCATGAAAATATATAATTCACACCCTTTGACATAAGAATAAATATTTAAAATTTCATGAGTAATTTATGTTCTTGAATATTATTTATTCCAAAACATTTTTATTCTTTTCCACCTACCAAATAATAATTATTTTCAACCTCACATTCTCAAAAAAAAAATTCTAGCACCGAAACAAACACACACTAAACAAATTTATAGTTAATGTTGTATTGAAATTTATAATTAATAAATAATAATAATAATAATAATAATAATAATAATAATAATAATAGTAATAATAATAATAATAATAATAATAACCATTGTATTTATAATCTAAAATAACATTTATTTTGAAATATATAAAAGAAAACCCACATTTAAAATTTTGTATGTGAGAGAAGAATAATACTTTTATTCTAAATTCAAATATATATTTTTATTCAAATATAAATAGTATATTTTCTGCACACAATTACAAAGATTAATATTTCAAACCTAAAAAGATTATAACAAGTAACAAAGTGATTCAACGCTTTTTGAATTAAAGTTAAATTTAAAATGTTCAATTAAATTAAAAGAAACACTTATCATTTCATTCAAATATTCTTGACTAATATGAAATTGCTTTGATTAAATTTGTGCTATTTTAATATATTTTTCAGTTAAAAACAATACAATAACATAACATTATAAACAAACATGTGACATATATTCCACACATCTAATAAATATATTTCCTATTTGCTAACAAACAAAGACTGGTCATCACTGACCTCTCTCTGTCTTACAACAGTACTTAAAATAGTCTCTAGCAGTGAGCATAAAAAAAAGAAGCTTACCAGTTAAGAAACAGCACCTTCTCAAAACCCTAGAAAAAGCAACAAAAATATAATAAAATAAACAACAAGAACAAAGAGTGAATAACCAACACACAAATATTTATATATAAATACTCAAAACACCCCTCCTTTACTTTTGCTACACATTTCCACCTCCAAATCTTCTCAACCTCTTGTTTCTTTCTTTGCTTTCTTTCTTTCTTCTATCTGAAACTCATCACACACACTCTCTTATCTTTACCTTGTTAATGTGATTTCATTTTTCTTCACAAAAGAAAAGAGAAACCATGGTTTTTACTTCTATACCAGCAGCTTATCTTGATGCAGCCAACTGGCAGCAACAACAGGTAAAAATATATATATATCAATAAGGGTTTGAATTCAATTTGGTTCTTCATTTTGTTTCTTTGTGCAAAAGGAAACAATAATTCAAAAGATGAAAAGGAAAAAATATATATTCTTGTAACTTTAATTTTATACCTTTTTCTTGAATATACCAAATATTTGATTTCTATAGTTATTTGTTTTATCCTCAATTCATATGTTTTTCTTCTAATTTTCTTCCTTTTGTCTATTTTGTTAATAAAGCAACAGAATCATCATCATCAACAACTTGGAAACGGTGGTTCCGTCTCTCAACAACTGCTTCAGACACCACAACCACCACAAACACAGCCTCAACCTCATGGAGCGGGTAGCACCGGCTCAATTAGGCCAGGATCGATGTCCGACAAAGCAAGAATGGCGAACATGCCTATGCCAGAGACCGCGCTGAAATGTCCGCGTTGCGAATCAACCAACACGAAGTTTTGCTACTTCAACAACTACAGCCTCTCTCAGCCACGACACTTCTGCAAGACTTGCAGAAGGTATTGGACGAGAGGGGGCGCGCTGAGAAACGTCCCGGTTGGAGGTGGCTTTCGGAGAAACAAAAGAAGCAAAGGAAGCAACTCAGCAAAATCTCCGGCGAGCTCCGATCTTCAAACGGGTAGTGCTAGTTCAACAAACTCAATCACCTCTCATAACAACCACTCATCCGCCTCGGGCGATATATTAGGCCTTACACCTCAAATGTCATCATTGAGGTTCATGACACCATTACACCATAACTTCAATAACCCTAACGAATTCGGAGGCGGCGATTTAGGGTTAAACTATGGATTTAGCTACATGGGAGGAGGAGGTGATTTAGGAAGTTCTTTACTTGGTGGAAATGGTAATTCAATTTTATCTTCAACAAATGGTTTGGAACAATGGAAGATGCCTATGCCTATGCCTATGTCTATGCCTATGCATATGCCAATGACTCATCATCAACAACATCAATTTCCATTTTTGACAAACTTGGAAGGTTCAAATGGAACTTTATACCCTTTTGAAGGAAATGTTCAAAACCATGAGATGATGATATCTAATAGTGGATACATGAGGCCAAAGGTAACTTCAACTTCTGGAATTATGACTCAACTAGCTTCTGTGAAAATGGAAGATAGTATGAATAGGGGCTTTTTGGGAATTAGCAGCAACAATAATACTAATAATAATCAAGGAAGTGAACAATATTGGAATAGTGCTGTTATTACTGGTAATTCTGTAGCTAATTGGAATGATCATGTTTCTGGTTTTAGTTCTTCTTCTAATACTACTAGTAATAACCAGATGTAGAATTTTATAGTGTTGTGTGTGAAGTGAAGCTTCTTGTTTTGGTTAGTGTGGCTTCAATTTTAGTAACTTAAAGAGAAAAATCATCTTCTTTAGATCAACTGAAAACCCTAGGGATTTAGGTTTTCTTTGTTTTTTTTTTTTGTAATTTTTATTTTTTATTTTTATTTTGATATATGTTCCTTTTAATAGGTTTTAGTTTTGCTTTGTATGAGAAGGTTGAATATATTTATATAGTAAAATTATGAGCTCAAAGGAATGGATATTATCAATATTTTGGGTTGAAGAATTTTGTTGTGATTTTATTTGGTGGTATATTTCACATATTGTATTGTAGAGCTATGATCATAAATATCATCACCTCAAGAAAATTATGTTTTTATACAATTATAATGTAACAAGTGATATTTTTTAGTGGAGTTTCTTAGATTAAATTTCCGCTTATGTAAGTATTTTTATAAACTTTATGTAAGCCTTGAAATATTGAATTTCATCTCACCAAAACTTTATTAGACCAAAATATATTAATTTTAATATAGTTCTAAATTATTATTTGTATATTGCGGCTGTAAAATAAAGATTTAAGTATATATATATATATATATATATATATATATATATATATATATATATATATATATATATATATATATATATATATATATATATATATATATATATATATATATATATATATATATTAATGCAATATTAAACCATAATCATTTAGTAATAACTTGTTATAGAGTTTAAATTATAGTCAAAGTATGCTTTGACTAAGAATTACAAGAACTTCTGCTTAGAAAAAGAGTAAAGTTATAGAAAAAAGCTTTAGTGAAATACGGTTGTCTTTCTATAACTGTATAGGAAATTATAAATACACCTGCTGGAAAGTGAGAATTTGTTCTGTTAAAAATTAAATAGTGTTTTCTTGTATTTTTTGCCTTTTGTTAAGTTTGTATTTTTTGGACATGTGCCTTTTACGAAATTAAAACAATAGATGTAGGACCTTTGATTATATTTCAGCTCCAAAATTTTTGCTTTTATACTCAAAATTACTACTATTAATTAACGGTGAGTTATTGTGGTTTAAAAGCTATACACTTAATGTGATGGAAAACCAATACAGCATATAGCTAATTAGGATCCTTTTGAACAACCTTTATAAAATTTATAAGATATACTTACGGTCTCTAGCATGATGGTGAAGGTTTCCCATGGACGTAGAGAAAGTCTACCTGTAAAGTTAGTTTTTCATTATTTAAATTAGTAAAATCGGAGAGAAGAAATTTGCTATAATGAGTTGTTTCTTTATGTGATGCCGAATCATACTTATATGAGAATGACGGTTAGAATCATTCCGGTAAAAGTAGTTCCTTATGTGGGTGACCGTCGGATTAATTCTAACGGTTGAGATAAAAGTGGTGTCTAGGTTTAGTGTGGGACTCTTTAGTAAGAATGTGTATGTTCGTCTGTTTGAGTGGGTGAAGCTTTGAATTGAGCTTTCACGTTGAACCAATCTTATTGACCGTTGGTCAATTTAAAATAGATGTCCTTAAGTCCTTGCTATATTGGACATGAAGTTAGAACTATTGTGATGAAATTTTATAGACTGGTCTCAAGGGATTTTTCTCTGAACAGTCGTGTCTGTTGGAAGAATTATCCAGACAAGGGAAAAGATCACTGATAAGTTGAGTTAGAGTTGGTGGTCTTGGGAACATGTGCATTAAATGCTTCTCATCACTAGAACGTTACTTTAGGGAGGACTTCCACATGGACTTATGCACCTAGGGAAGGGAGACAACAACACCCTTAGAATATTTGGGTGTTGTTGTACCCCAAAATTTGTTCTCTCATTATTCAAGACTATTCAAGGATTGAACAAATAAACCCTCCTCCTAAGCAGTTGACCTACAACTAGAGTTTTGTTTCTCTCAAGGAAAATTGGACTTTTAATACCTCAAGTGAATTTTATGGTTTCTCATATGTCTCAAAGAATTCTCATGTCAAATTTCAAGCCTTGCAGCACAAGTTTGCTCAGTCAATTAGTCAGATGATTGAAAGTCAACTTTGACCAATTTATAGTCAAACTTCAAGACTTTTTAGGTCAACATCAACATTTTGAAGTCACATTCATCATTTGATCAAGATTTTATCATGATTCATCAAGAAAACTCAAGATTCATCAAAAGTCAAAAGTTACTAAATTAGGGTTTTCTTAAGGAGAAGTCAACTAAACTTTGACCAAGCATAACTTTCACGTGCTTTATCATAAATTTCTCAACCAAATCTCATTTTGAAGGAAATTCAATTCTCTACAACTTTGTCTCTCTAAGCTCAAGGCCAAAAATGCTTCATTTGAGAGATATGGGTCAAAACATTACATGTCATTTTAAAAGTTAACAAAAGGACACGTTTTATAAAAGCAATTTACATCAAGATAAGTCTTCAAATACAAAAATGATCAATATGAAGGTTGTATGGGACATCTTGAGGTTTCTAAAAAGTCTAATATCACCATCATATGACAAAAATTGAGAGAGTTATGATTGGTACAAGTTGGACAATTTTGAGAAAATGCATGAAATCCAAATTAAGCAAACTTGAATTTTTGGGCTAATGGACCTATCTTTTAAGGTCCAAACATGTTCTTTACCTCATAAGAGACTCCTAAGTCCACTTATTTATTTTTGAGATCTTTATTTCTTTTATTTTTGACTTTATTCATTTAAATTCAAAATTAAATCAAATAAATATCTAACAAATGGACAAGGCCTAAAAGACTTAAGATCTGAATATTTTGGAGGCCCAAGATCACATTGCAAATCGTGTGGAGTTATTTTTGAATCAAATCTTCATGGTTGTCTCTTATTCCAACCTATTTTCAAACAAAATCAAAAGATTGTTTCACACAATGTCCAAGCCCATCCTTTGATCCAATCTCTTCTCCTATATATACTCTCCAAATTCTGACAAAAGAGGACGAAAAAAATCTTCTCAAGAACACCCTTCAAAATTCTCAAATTTTGTCCAAACTAGGATAAAATTGAAGTTCATCATTCAGCCATCCTCAAGTCCAATCATCCATTCAAATTGATTCCTGAGATACTATAGGATAACTTGGGATCATTCTTGATGATCAAAAGTCCCTGAAAAACACGCATCCATCCATCGTCAGTTTCTTGTTTTTGTTCAAATTCGTATTTTAATCTTTATTATGCTTTGATTTAAACTAACAATCCTAACATGTTCCTGAGATAAAACAATGCAGGTTTGATCCCTTGCATGAGTCCCATAACACCAGAACACCTCATCACCATGTTTGAACCGATTTACAATATTTTGGCCGTATCTCTTTGTTCAATACGAATTGGAAAAAACTAAGGCCACCATTGGATTTGCAAGGGTCAATTTAGGGGGGTAGCGTCCTATTTAATCACTAACGCGTGCTATTTTTGCAGGTGAAGAAATCCTCTCGCCGGAGAAGACGACCGGAGCTAGAGCTTCGGCGCCTCTCCGGTCCAACTTTATATTATATTTATTCGTTTCAGTTATATGATCGGATGAGAGCGTAGCACCGCTGGTCAAGAGAAGGCGTATAACGTATGAGGCGTGGGTTCGATCCCTGCGTGATGTATATATTTTAGTTATTTTCATCTAACACGTAGGTTTTTAATATACTATGCAGCACCTGTTTCCTAACACCAACAAGTGCTTGACCTAGTGGCAAGCAGTGCAATTTGTGAAGCCGGAGGGCGTGGGTTTAACACTCACCCCATGTAGATTTTACTCTTTTTTTGTTTAACCTAACTTCCTTGATTTTTCTAACCCTAAACCTAATTTCTTTTAATTAATCATCAAATTAACCTAACTTTTTTTAATAAATTAGGATTAGGTTTTTTAATAAGTAATATTTATATATTTTTGCATGTGTAGGTGAAGTAGAGCTTCCATAGCAGTTGCACCAGTTGTTGTCTTGTTTTTCTTCAACTGGTGTAGCGCGCTTTGTACTTCTTAGCGCGCTCTTCTGTGCAGAGCCAGTAAATTATTTTTAAATTTTTGCTTGATTGATGTAATACAATGGGAGAACTGACTTTACTGGTTTTGGGTTTTATCGCAAATGTTGCGGTTAGCAAGAGTCACCACCGACTTTTCTTTTATCCAATAAAGGAAAGAGTGAAAAGAACAGGAAAGACCTTTCGAGAATTTTTCTGAGTAAAGGGGGTAGGTTATGAAAAGGGAAGGTGTTAGCATCCTTTCCATCTGTAGTTATCTACGGGCTCTTAGCTTCTAGCTCACTTTGAAAATGCTTTTTGTGTAAGTGCATTTTGAAATTATTTTAAAAGATGCCTTAGTACGACGAACTTTGTAATGATTCTCGTATCGTTGAGAACGCATACAAAGTATTTTGTCTTTGAAAATATTTAGAAAAAAAGAGAGTGTATGTGTGGGAAATTGTTTTGTTTTGTGAGCAAGAAAGTATAAGCTATCTACCTACTCAAAAGATCTTTGTTTTTTTCCTCTTTCCTTTGGATAGTGCTATCCTACCATTAGTTAGTAGGTATCCCTATCATTGGTTGTTTTGAGGGACAGGCGCGAGTCATCGTACAGTCATAAAGGCAACTTGTAGGACGCTTTAGCAATTTGTCATAATGGACTAGATCATTTACCGAAAGACAACATCGAAGGATCATCGAGGGACTATGATCTTTGTATCAAGGGACTTTGTAATGCCTGTTAATTTAATTAATTATCTAATTAAATTAATTACGGATTAATTGTTGGAATTGTTGAAAATGTTGATTTAAGTTGGCACGTTGTTAGTTGATTATTTGGTTAATTAAGTTGTAGAAATAGTATTGGAATAATACTAGATTTATTATATAGGTTTAATTAATGGTTGGTGGTAGTAAAAGTGGGGGTGTTGAGATTAGGCCCAATGGAGTTATTAAGAATAATAGAAATTGTATGTTAAGTTGAATAAGAAGGAATTAGGTTTTTGT